CAAACTAAGATCTTTGATTTCACAAGATATTATGGAAACATTATTACTGATTGAAAAAGATTTTATAGTTGATAAAGATATGGTTATCAATAATGTTGCTAAAAGTTCAACAGAACTAACTAGAATATTGTTTTAAAATAAGTTTATAATTATAATTAGTAATCCAAAATTGTTTGTATTGAATAATTATTATATTTTGAAATTTTGTTATAACTACTTATGTGATGTAGGTTGGATTTTTTATTAAAAGGAAGTATGACAAAATTTGACTTGTTTTTCTTCAAAATTATATTAAAAAAAGCATTTTTGAATAGCTTCAAAACATTAATTTAATTAAAGGTCCCAAATGGCCAAATATATGTATGTATGTATATATTTATATATATGTACCAGATTAAACTTTTATCTAAAAAAAATGGCTTTTGCGGGCCCTTTATAGAGATTGCTGATGGGGCCTTTTGGAGTCAGTCCGACACTGACAAACATTATCTATACTATAGGTACCTACAATAATAAATTAACTTACTGACTTGTTTACATAAAATAGTAAAAAACTATGATCAGAACATGAGTAGCTAGGTATTGTTTCAGACTTTCAGTACTATGTATTTTTTAAAATATTATATTTTACTGTTCTCATTTACCGCAAACAAATGTTTACAAAAACCGCATAAGCCATATTTTTGAGGGAAAATCTAAGTTATAAATTATCTTTAGTACCTAATAGTTATTTAAAATAAGATAATTCGATCCGTCAGATAATGCCATTTCGTTGCCTATGTATTTTAAATATTTTTCAACTAATATTGTAACAATATATCAGGAACCAGAAAAAAAAACCAAAAATTTGAAAACTGAAAATGTCCGTAAACAGCACAAAAACAGTCAAATTATTTTATAATAAATAATTATTATTATTTTTCTATAATAATACAAATTTTATGGTGTGTAGGAAATGCTAATATAAACATTCAGTGAAATTTTCAAGTATCAACAGTCATTCGTTTTTTTAATTAGAACAAAATAATAAAATCGTTACATGAGAAATCGAGTGAATATCAAATGTTGTAAAAATATAAATTTCAAATGCTCATAAAAATTGAATTTGACTTGCTTCTAGAAATAAAGGTAGCCAACTTATGAGGAATCTTGTATTACATTTTAAAATCTTGGTATTAAAAAGAAAATTTTTTATGAATTTCTAACTCAAAATAATTTGCAAATGTTCGTCATTTTTACGTAGTTAGTCAATATTTGAACTTTAACTGCTTATAAAAAAAAATCACGATTTTTAATTTTTTTTTTTATCTGCCTTTGAAACAATATACTAGGAGTCTTCTATTAAATTTTCAAGCTTTTTTAACAACAATTTAAATTTTATTGATATTTATAGAATAAAAAACTAAAAAAATTGGAACTGAGAATGTCCGTAAACAGCTCAAAATAAGTCAAAATATTATGGCGTATAGAAAATGATAATATAAACATTCAATCAAAATGTCATGTACTAGCTGTCATTTGTTTAAGAGTTGAACCAAAAACCAAAATCCATTTTTTCGAAACCCGATTTTGCGTACAATTCCCGTTCTTCCTTAATTTTTCTTTTGTTTCTCAAGGCGCTTTTGAAAACTACTGTAAAAATTTTACTTTTGACCACCCAAAGTACCAACTAGATTCACTTTACTTTCAGGAAAGATCCTGTTGAAGATACTGTAGATAATAATTAAAATTATAAATTGTAATATTCAATGTTTGTTTCAGAACTTATAAAAAAATGAAAAACATTTTCCACTTTTGTTCAAGCACAAAATGTCCCCCCAATTTTATTATTAACATTCTTCGCAATACATAGGTAATACTATTAACGACCGGGTATGTATTAAAAACAATCTAAAAATATATATTATGTAGTCCGTGTAGAGTTTTAGGACAATAGTTATTTAATACCTATTTTATTATGATATGATGTATCTGATATTGTTATATATTAATTATCCAGTTTTACAGCTCCTATTTATTAATTTCTTTATAAAAATTCATGCTACACGTTTTGTTTGTACATTAAGATTATACAGAGAGGAGTGGAACTTTACAGGTAAGCCAGTACAAATCATTGTGATGATAAATATTGTCTAAATTGAGATCCGTACTGCACACTTTTAACTTGGCAAATAAATAAGATTTTATAATTTAAAAATAGAATCCAAGAAAAAAGGCACTTATATTACCTTGCCATTTGTTATTTAAACATTTGTCTAATGTGATTCCAATTATAGTTTATTTTTATATTTCCAGGCCCCTTGAAAGCAAATAAGATACCTACCTATTTCAAGACGAGGGAACAAAAACAAGATGAATTACAAAATAAAACTGAATAGTTAGAAAAATGCAATTATTTTAAAATATATTTTTATGTTTTACAAAATATTTTAATTTGTGATTTAAAAATAAATAAGTTAATGAAAGAAATGTTACATTTTTATGAATGGTTAAGAATCAATAGTGAACATTTTAATTTAAGTTATTTAACTCAAATTTTGTGAGCGTTTCTTGACTGATTGTTTAGTATACTTGCCTACGTTTTAAAAAAAAACATACCTATATAGGGTGATTTCCAGGAATTCCGAATATAGCTTATTACCCTATTATCTATAGTTTCTTGTTCAATTCATAAAAACCTCACAGAATCGTAGTTTGGTCACTGATTGGATATTGAACTATCACATACAAAAACGAACAACTCCATGAGAGCATTTAAGGCATTTCGTTAGAACAATGACATTAAAAGCACTTATAATAGGTTTTATAAGTAATTTAATGTTTACAATCATAATACACTAAACTAAATATTGTTTTATGTTTAATTAAAAGAGTCTATCTACCAAGGTCATATCGAGGACTTATCTGATTTTATCTACAAAATAACAAAATTGAAATTGAAAATTAGGAATGAAAAAGAAAATTCACATACCTATAGAATTCAATTTCTATCAATAGGTAGCTTGCAACGTATAGAGAACTTCTTAGTTCTTCAATAGCAAACAAAATGTTCATAAAAAAGTATACAAATACAAAACAAATAATTTTGTCCTTACTTTGAGTTAGAATATGAAATATATTAAGATTATAACGATTTTTTATTTGAAAACAGTTATTGATGTAGATAATTTTTAAAATACCCACCTATAAATTAATCAAAACTAAACTCAATAAATTACTCGATAAATACAATTATTATTAAAGGTAATGAATTAATATTAAATATACTTGACTACAATTCATTATAGTATTAAACATTTTTAATTTATATTGTTAATACTAATAGGTCTCCCGGAAGGTTTTCAACTCTCCAAAACATTTAATTTATTTGCCAAACATTTATTCATAAGGATTTATTTGTATCAATACTTTACATAAATCACGCATTTTTTTAACTACACTTTTTCAATGGTAATTACTATTTACTGATAACAAAATATATAATATAGAGTAGATTGAATTGTAAATCATGATGAATTTTGTAATTTGGTTAAGATTTTAAAACATGGAGGGTCGGCATTTACAAATCGTTTAATTTATTTGTATCATAAATATTTATATATAACTCTAAAATGTAAACCTACTTCAAACTTTCTTCATTAGTTTTGCGTGAACATGATTTTAAAGAATTTCGTGGTACGTGTTAGGTTACATGTAGTTATTACTTAGGTAGGTACCTGTTGCTCCATGCATTCTACTAGTGTTGGGTCGAACATTAAATTTTGTCCGAACTCCGACGTCATCCCATTGGATTGCTAAGTACATTAATTTTGATATACCCATCTATAATATTAACACTACACAGAATATACCTAGATTTTGATGTGTATTGTATATAATATTATATATTATTTTTAATATATTTTATTGTATATTATTATTATCTGTTACTTGTTATGAAAACATTAAGCTCCAGCCTCCAAATTATAAATATATACCTTCATATTTAAATATCTGTTTCATAACTAATTTATAATTTATTTATTTATTATTTATATATTCACATTTTTATCCTAAATATTGATTCTGAATAATATGCTATTTACATGTTATCGAAGTTAATAAACCGACAATAATTATCTAGTTTTGAAATTAATTATATAATCGTATAACCAGTATAATCGATTACCTACAATATTCATTGACTTAAGATACAAAATATAAAGATTTAAAATTAATAAAATGAGAATGTCATTCATAAATTAAAAGTTTAGATTGTAGTAGATATTCTACATTTTTATTTTGGGGATGCTAGGTTTTTATTCCTCAAACTTAAGAGAAATGAAAACTTAGACAGTACCTAGAAATATATAAATAAAAAATGCCAAATATACATTAACTGCAATAATATGTATCATTTTATAATGTCATTAAGGTTATGTCTCTTTGGTTCAACCATATGTTAGGTTAATTTTTGAGCTCATATAAAATTACCGATTGCCTTAATTATTTTAAGTATATTACCTGTCTACCTACTTAGAAACGAATATATTATCATAATAGGAAAATAATAAGCGTTGTTTAATAGAATAACTATTAATAGGTAGGTACTAACAAGTAATAATATTATTTATTTAATTGATTTATTATGATTTAATTTCGAAAAATATACATCCAAAAAATAGGTATGTTGAATAGTGATAATAATAATTAATAATTAATGATGAGTTGTACGTTAAATGATTTACAATTTTGATATTGATAACACATTAGTTATCATAAAAAAAATACATAATACATAGGTACATTTTTAAGATTCGTTATGCTTAACAATAATATATTATGAGTGATAAAAAGTTATGAAAAATTTGATAAATGGTACCTTTACATAATATTAAAAAATGATGATAATAATAATAATATTATTATTAATTAGAGAAAAAACGTCAGTAACCTAACTAAGTTTTTTTTTTTTTTGTTACAATGAAAAACAATGTTACTGTTGTGAGTAGGTACGAGTACTACTTGTAGAGTTTGCCATCAAAATAATGTACAAACGGAAGATTGTAGCTGTAGTATACTGGTTGGGAATCCGACGGACGATTGTTTACGAGTCTTCTAGTGATAAGAATACCATCAGGGTCTTTCTTTGGATCGCTATATTGGTTCACTCTTTTGTCGGTTATTAGGGGACAGCAATTTAATTGTTTATTGCCACTGCACGAACTCGGTGCATAGTAATATTTTGAATCGTAGTAAGTGATTTGGCATATTGAATGGTGCATGCAAACGCCCCTAGCACCACTATAGATAATTTCACAATCTTGAGCTAAAAATAAAATAAATTCCGTACATAAATTTAGTGTTAGTGTATAAAATCTTGTAGATAATTTTTCGATAGATCCGTTGAAATAACACATTAAGGGGATTCGATACCTTGATATCCCACCCCAAGACTACCAAATTATTGACTCAAGTGTTTAATGATTAATTTTACATATTTTCAAAAAAAAAAAAAACGTAGAAGTATTTCCTATCTTTATTGAGGATAATTTTGATAACTTCGGAACTCTATAACGAAATTCGTTTCAAACCAACATTTATGTCATAATCAACTACTAATTACTATTTATTTAAGAGATTCTTAATAAGCGTAAGCATAAGTTATATATTTTTGAAGTGATGAAATCACAAAATAAAAATGGTAAGGAAATGGTTTGTATATTTGACTTCACTCCCCGACCATGTGTGTAACTTACCGCATAAGAACTCGCATGCTTCTCTGGTTGTTGGAACGTTATAGTTTTGGGTGCAAAAATGCCAGCCATCCCGGGTGTAGAAAGGTAGGCACACTTTCATATTCGATTCATAGAACCACCCGGTATTTATCCAGCCATCAACATATTTCTCCGAAGCCAAGCATTCCTTTGTTGTATTTGGTCGCTGACATACTAATGAATCTAAAAAAAATAAATCGAAATTAATTATTAATAGATATATCTGTAATACTCCTTAAGAGTTAGGAGGTAAACGATATAAACCCATATATTGAATTAAAAATATTGTGATCACCAAACAGGTTAAAAAGTATGTGTGTTTCAATAATGATAGTTAAACCATGCAATCAGAAAATAACTGAACTCTAAAGTATCCAAACTACTATATTGCAATTTAATAGTATATATTATTTATTTTTCATCAATAATTCGCTTAGCACTATTTTTGTAGATGACCGAACATTTAAAACAATTTAAAAAAAATTTATTAGGTTAAATACATATTTAAGATTTATGTGGGCCCAGAGCGCATAAGACGGTGGCCGGGGCCCTGGAGTTTACAAAGTATCATAATTTTATATTTTTTTTTTAAATAAATCTCGAAATAAACTTTAAACTTTGCTTTGTATGTAATTCCCAATTATAGATAACGCAGTTCAAAAAACCGTGGTAAATCATACAAATCGGCAACCAAAATAAATAAACTGTTTGGATTTTTTTCCAATTTTAAAAGTTTAAAGACAAAAGAAATAGTCCATTGTAAAACATTTGCGGAATTTTATTATGTACCTATATATAATATTAATTAATTTTATAAAGTATACCCAAATAAAAATACATCTATCAGAACTTGAAATTTCTGAATTCAGTATTATTAAATCAATCAGAATTTTTTTATCAATGATGATTACCAACTGTAGCTGGGAACGTTTATTTTCCAAGTTCATTACAGAAGAGTTTATAAGTAGTGCTTGAAACGGATATTTGATACCGATTTTGAATACTGGTTAAAACCGTTAGAAACCAAAACCGAAAACAAAATCGAAAAAAAATAATACCGGTAACCAAAACCGAAATCGGGAAACTTTTGAATTTGAAAATTGAAACGAAATCAGAAAAAATAAATACCGATATCCGAAACCAGGGGCGGACTGGAAGGGTCCGGCCACTATTCCAAGTTTATTAGCGGCAAATAAAAATATTTACTAATATTATAAATATTTACTCTAATTGCACTTATGATTTATGAACTTATACACAATGTATAACAGAAACACTCGACAAATTGAATAGGTAACTTTTGTTCTAATCATTTAAATATTTATTTTAAATAATTTATAGACTTTTGTAAGTACAGTATAATATTTATAACACCAATAAAAAGGTGGGCAAGTGGATGTCACTCTGCTGTACAGTAGGTTACAAGTGGGTCACTGTAATGAATGGTATTAAATTCGAATTTAATGATATAATATTATTGTATACGGAAAAGACGGTTAATATACAGTTTTTGATGATACTATTGTGAATAAAGTACTTAGGTAATTAATTTCAGTATTAGGAATTTTAGTATTTACTATAGGAGGTTAAATTCATTGTTAAAGAAAAAATTACATTTGAAAATGTCATTGCGTGTTTATAAAATATAACAAAATACTCTAAAAGTTACCAACAAATAATATTTTTAAATTGCAACAAAATAACTAAAATTATTATTCTTGGTTTTAATATGTCATTTCGTCCAAATTTGAATTAAAAATGTCAGTAAAAAATAACTGTTTCTTATAACTATATTCTTCAACTTTATTTTATAGATTTTTTGGTTACAGTATGAACTATTTATGAGAATCTTTGTTTTACATTTTCAATCCATAGTTATAAAAAATTAAAAACTGTTAAAATTTTATAATTCTTTAAAAATACAATGATTGATAATTTTCGAGATTTTGATAAATTTTGATAAATTCGAACTTTAAATACTTATAAAAAAAAATTGTGCCCATGTATTTTAATATTTTTCAACTGATATTGTAACAATATATCAGGAGCCTTATATTAAATTTTCACACTGTTTAGCCCACAAAATAAAATTTTATTGATATTTATAAAAAAAAAACTAAACCAATTGAAATTTGAAATTGTCCGTAAACAGCTCAAAATGAGTCAAAATATTTTCAAAATTGTTATGGTGAATAGAAAATGAGAATACAAATATTCAGTAAAATTTTTATGAATTTACAGTTGTTATTCATTTTTGAATTACAGAAAAATAAGGAAATCGCTAGGTACCTATATGAGAAATCGAGTGAATATCCAATGTTGAAAAAATTAAAACTTCAATCGCTCATAAAAATTGTATTTGACTTTCCGGTAGAAATTTTTTTTTGACAAAAGTAGACAAAATTATGATGAATCTTGTATAACATTTTCAAATCTGAGTTTTTAAAATAAAAACTTTTATTAATTTCTAGTTAAAAATAATTTGTGAATTGTTGTCATTTTTGCGTATTTTGTCAATATTTGAACTTTGAATGCTTAAAAAATAAGAATTGTGACGATGGATTTTTAATATTTTTCATCTTCCTTTGAAAAAATATATTAGGAGCCTTCAATTAAATGTTCGAGAGTTTTTACCCAACAAATAGAATTTTATTGATATTTATAGAAAAAAACAATAAAATCCAAACTGAAACTGAAAATGTCCGAAAACGGCTCAAAATAAAACTTGAAAATGTTATGGTTCATTGAAAATTCTAATATAAACATTCAGTAAAAATTTGATGTATTTACGGTCATTTGTTTTAGAATTATAAAAAAAACTAAAGTCGATTTTTACAAAAACCTATTAGGCCTAAAAATTTCTGTTTTTTCTTAATTTTCTTTTGAAAACTATTGGAAATTTTAAATGTTGACCTCCCGAATGCACTAATTTAATTCACCTTCCCATCGAACAAGATACTGTTGAAGAAAATAGAAGCAGTTCTACTACCCCAAACAGTGACGGCAGACACAACAATTTAAAAATTTAAAATTAAAAAAAACACACACGATTGGAAAATCAATACATTCATCACTCCGCTCGGAATCTAAAATTGTATATAATAAGTACCTAGCTAATTTTTTTTTTGAAAAATTTAAAATAAGTACCCAATTTGTTAATCTAATTTTTAAACACATTTTGATAAAAAAAAATTTAAATCAAGTAGCTAATTTTTTTTAATTTTTTTTAATATTATTATTTTGAAGCAAATTAATTTTAAACGTAGGTAATTACTTTTTTCAAAATATTGTTTTTGGAAATTTCCTGACATGAGAATATTTCTTAAATTATTTATTATCAATGACATTTTCACGATTGTAGTCGTATAAGTAGTGCAATATTTTGCAGGCCATTCTGTTACAGTATGTTTAGGTATATAATATTATATACAATACATATTATTCCCAAAATTTTCTTTTAAATTTAAATTATTGAAATATAAAATAATACTAAACTTAGAAACAATCACGTTGGCTAATACCTACTCATTACTCATAATATTGTATTCACTATAATTTCGTTATTTTCCGGCAGTTCTACCATGCGGTATACGAATTTCAATCAATTTACAAAATAAATATCCTATATAAACCGGTCAAATTAGCCATAGTCTTTTAATTCGATCTGAATTTATTTATACCTACTTTATAAATGTGTTGCTATACACGCCACACGGCATAAAATCCCTGACAGGACAATAACGTTTTACGTTTCCAGAAATAAAATATTTTTAATTGTATTGATATCCATATTATTTAATTATAATTTATATCTATGTATTATTTTTTTGGTATCTTTTATATGGTAGTGTGCTAGTGTCTATATTGTGTAGTTTGTGATGGGCAATAGCAGCCCAATCGTCCAATAAATTATTATAAAATAACAAAAAAAACAAATACTGTATAATAAATAGAATGTATAATAAATATTAAATTATAGATATACATATTTGCTAGAAATAGTAGCGGCCCAACACTTACAATCTGGTACTGTCCGAAGCTACTGTCCGAAACCGAAATAAAAATTGGAAAAATAAATATCGATATCCGAAACCGAAATCGAAATAGGAAAGTACATTTTCAGTTTCAAGCTATGTTCATTATAATAATATAATAATAATGCAGAACTTAAACCCGATATTGGATACCGATTTTGAATAACGGCTTAAACTGTTAAAAACTGAAATCGATACCGATACCGAAACCGAAAACAAAATCGAAAAAAATCGATACCAATAATCAAAATCGAAATCGAAAAAAATCAATACCAATAATCAAAATCGAAATCGAAAACTATATTTACGGTTTCAAGCTCTGTTTATAAGTATCATGACTATTCATAAGCCAGAAACGGTTAAACCAGACTTTATACGTTTATGATTCATGAATGTTTTTACAAGTTTCAAACGAATTAAAAGAATATTATGAATAAACTTTATTAACTAGTAACTATTCTGTTTTTTTATTTCAATTTTTTTTCGTTACATTGACTTTTTATGATAATACATCACTGTCAGTTACAATGCAGTTTGCCGTCATCCCGTGTGCCCAACCCGCCAGTTCCGAATATGAGTATAATATTATTGTCTATGGGTTAAATCTCTCTATCTATTAAAGATTAATAATGACAAATTGATAACAATAATTTTGTTTTATGAATTAGATTTATTATTTAACTATAAATAGTATAAATTTATAAATAATTCATAACATGCTCAAGTTGTAATTAATGGGAAAGTACATTTAACCATATAAAATTTTGAAATTATTATAAACTATGAATAACAGAGATGCGAACAAAAATGTACTTTTTACTGGTTAAGTAGGTACCTATAATATTTTATAGATGATAATAATATGTGTTAAAAATGTGTATAATATCATAATAATTTTAGTACCTATTTAAAGACCCCGAAATATAATGGACCTTGGGAATCGGATAACTTTAAAGGAGCACAAAACATAAAAAATAAGTTTTTTAATTTGAAACAATTGGTATAGGTTTTACGTTTTTACTCATATTATTCAATAAGTTATGACCAGTTGAAAAAAGACGCGTGACGTCATTGGGCCCGGCTCATCGTAATTACCTAATAACTAAATTTAAAAAATAAAAAGTTTAGATTAGTAAATCGTTATGTGAAGTGAGGAACTTTTACACCTATAAGTTAGGCAATCACGATGAGTTGGGCCCAACAACGTCACATGGCAATTCTACATTTCTTAATACCTCATAAAGTAGGTAGGTACCTAATCATTTTTTTTTACAACCGATTTTCACCAAATAACTTAATATAGCTACGATAATTTAACATTAAAAAAAATTTAAAGAAAATGTTTTTTGTGTTGTGTGCTCCTTTAAGACTGTATATTTATTCCAAAGTATAATTAGTTTTTAACGATAAAAAAATCTGTCCAGTAAAATAAAATTGTATATTGTACCTATTAAAATTATTATACCATCAATAGCACGTTAGGATCAATTCATTATTGTTCTAAAAGGATACTATAAAAAATACATAAATGCAAATTCCTTAGACAGTAACAAATGAATGACGTATGAATTTTCGTGTTTTTGTCAGTTATTCTAAATAATAATGTATAGGTAGTATATTAATTTAACTATGAAATAAAATAGAAAAAAAATAAAATACAAGTCGACATGTTATACGATACCTATGACGCCTATGCCTTCGCAGGTGCCGATCAGTATTACGGCGACGACCATCAGCCCTTGGATTGTTTTGGTGGAGAACATGGTTTGAACCTTGCTGAAGTACGAAATAGTCTTCCTCGTGACGGCTTATGGGTGGAGATGAATAATTGTCGAACTGGACGAGCGGCCGAAAGATCTCGTTCAAATGATGGTGATCGCCATGCGGCGATGACTTATATAACGTCCGTCTCGGGGAGGGAGCGCCCCGTACGAATTATGTGTGCGCATGCGCATTTGTGTGCCTAGTTTTATATATTTCACCCCCAACCAATTTTGACCTGTGTCCATTTTTATTTTTCATTAATGGACTATGAAACAAAAAAAAAAAATGATTTGATTAATAGATTGACTACTAGAAGTAACGGGGGTACTAAAATTTGTATACGTCACATACGTTTATATTCGTTGAGGGGCTAGAGCCCAAGAAAGATAGACGAGTGACGTCACAAGATCACAGCGCTGCGGCGGTGGCCTGTACTTGTATGCAGGAATTCCACCCGGTGATTTTCTGTTTTTATATTATCTTAAGACAAATGTTTAATTACTTTTTCTTAATATAACGTTTCTAAAAATTTGGGGGATATTTGTGATTCATACAAATTTAAAACAGTAAAAAAAATAGTGTGTCGGCGAATTGATTTGTCGGCCAATCGGTACGTCACTGCGGATACGGCCTTGATTTTGACAAATTAACAATAAAATAAATTGAATTGTGAAAAAATTACATAAAATTAATATATTTTTCTGAATAAATAAATAATAATTATAGAATATATATTCCATTAAATTAACACTAATATTAATTAAGATATGTTGATTATCTGATGAAGAAAATGCAATAAACTAAAAATAACAACAGTGTTCATTAATTGAAAAGTTGTCTCAAACTGTAAATTATTTTTATAGTAACTATTCTGTTACATTACGTCCAGTTACAAAATATGGTAATATTGCAATAATATATTATGATTTTTATATATACATATACTATTTACTGTATTTCTTTTTAATAGATTTAAGTCTACAAAATTGTTTTTAAATTATTAAAAATTGTAATTGGGTTCTACCCATTTAAATTAATAATAAATAAATAAATAAGCGATTTGTTGCAGTGCTTTTGTACTTTTTCAAACATACGACTAACTACTAAGTTGCTCCTTCCATAATTAATTACATAAATACGTGTTAAATAATAAAAATATTTTTCTGCCTGCATTCAACAAAAATAATCATACAATCACTCCATATACAGGGGTGGACTACTGGACTTGGCTGGCAGGATACTAGGAACATTCCCGGTAGGACGCTGCTTGAAAATAATTTGTCATTATTATATTTATAATAAAATAGATTTGAATATAAAGGGATATGGTAGTTTGAGCAAATTGTATTACTTATAAGTTGCTCATAAGCTGGGCAAGTTAATGCTTTTTTTTTAACTCGGTTAAGTTTAGTTAAGTGTTTTATATTTGAATACTTAATTTTAGTAGGTAGGTACTTGAGTATTTTATAGACATTTTTAATACATCAATTGAGTTTAAATTAACTTAACTTAACTTAAATTAATAAAGTAAGTTAATTTAAAAAAAAAATAGCAACTGCTTTGAAAAGATATTAAAATAAGTGATATTCACTTGGATAGTAAATAGTAATATAATAATATTATTATTATGCCTATGAATGTAGGAACAATTATTATTTATTACAAGCCGATTCCGAGAATTTCATCTCCCGATAAAAGTGCCAACTATATTATGTTTCAAACTTTGTTTAATACGTTATTTAATATTCGGTTTATGTTGTTCAAAACTTAAACATTTGCATCGGTCATCTTGAATCTCAAAATACTTGTGCAAGCACCACTTTAAAATTCAAATGTTGGAAGCTGATGCTTTCTTAATGCACACTTACATGGTGGTACAAAGGTACCCTAAAATGAGCAACCCTCAATCTATAATTATTAGGCTCTACATTGATCAGTCCGTAAGTCAGTTAGGACACGTTCGATTATATTATAGCCATCCCACCCGGCGTTGCCCGTGAGACCCGCTTGTGATTATGCAAGAAGTATATTAATTATTAATTGTACCCCACAAGGTGCGTAGGTACGTAATTACGAACGTATTATTAACACGTTGTTTATAAGGTGCATGCATATTTTCGCGGGACAAAGGGCGAACAATTTGCCTGTCCCCAAAATCCCATGTTTACTAAGTTATATGGTTTTGACCAAATATAACATATACGTAAACGTAATGTATACATGTCTAAAATTATATTCAATCATAACTAACAGCAACCCTACAATAAACAAAAATAAATTATTATTTAGTTTATTTTTGCTGGACAGCTTGCTCCACTGTTGTATTTTTGACAAGCAGTCCCTACTTTTTCGGTAGATTTTCCCCAAGTTTTCTTTCATACAAAACCTTGTCCTGAAAATTCAACAGAAAAAAAATCAGTGAAATCGGTAAATGCGTTCTGAAGTTATGGCGTAACTAAGGGAAATAGGTATTAATTTTTATATATAATTTAAAATCTGTTGGATTGTAATATTTTAGATTTGCATTCATATTTTACTTTGTTAATTTAAATTTAAAATTCAGTGTGCTGTCGTATATTGTGGACAGTCGTCAAAATATTATTATTTAATATATATATATGTAATATACGTGGAATATTTTAAATTTGTAAATTATTGACATGGGCCAATGAAGCAATATGTGCTGAGGCAGCCATAATATTAAACCATATAACAGGGCCGTACGCGAAGGCACGGGAGTCCGGAGTCCCGTTGACACTGAGTGATTCGGCGAGGACGTAGGTACGACGGTTGTACGTGTGAAAAGTCGATCGTAGTACGGACTATCTGAATTTGCTAAGTGTTTTATTTATGTTTGTTTTAATATAATAAAAGTGTTTCCTACCTGAAAACCCGAGTTTAAAATAATTTCAGTCATCCTTAAGTTCTTAAATTTTATAGGAGCAGCGCCGGGATATACGTAGGTACTATGGTCAATGAATTTATATTAAACTGAATAGTGCCAAGGTATATGTAATCTTTGAGTCATTTTAACTAGATAGGAACGAACTAAGAATATACAAGCGCATATCATCGTACTTCAAAGTTAACAGTGCCATTCTAATTAATTTTAGAGAGTGTCATTAACTAGAGAATACGAGGGTAAGGCGTATAGTTGGTTTACCGCGTATTGTCCAACACGGGTGATATCACAGTGCTTAAATGTGCTTACTGTATTGTTTAACATTTATAAATCAAAAAATAAATTACTTACTCAAACATTCAAAAATTATAAAAAATACTACCTACTATATTCCTACATATAAGTGGTAAATATTATATAAGATTTGTATTTACAACTAGGTTATTCTGAATATTATCTATTAAATTGTAATAACAGTGTCAACTGTATGAATTATGAATTATGAATGTATAAATGTAAAATACACCAGTATAGGGTGGTATAGGTAGGTACTTGTAATAAAGTTATAAATGTTATAATATTTAAATGGTCACAATTCATGATATAATTATACAATAATTGAACTAAATATTAACTAATAATATTACAATAAGACATAAGTAATAACTAATGAGAACATAATAAGTAGGTATAACCAACGGTAGCACCGTGGGCTTGTATCTATGTATGTGTTTATACGTATGAGTGTGTGACTAGAGTTACATTATTATAGTAACAATGTAACCCTTATATTATTATTAATTAGTGCCTAATTAATACGACCTATTAGTTTTTATCCATACAAATATATACGAATTCATCGTAAATATATCTTGATTTTTAATAATATTTTTTAATCTTTGTAATATTATAAGTGGTTTAAATGGTATTTTTTTAATTGCATTTAGTTGTTTACCGAATTTAAACCAACGCCTTATTTATAACTTAATCAGTTAATCTAATGTCCATTATAATATCAATAGATTAATAGACCACGGTTATAAGTGATAACCATATGACCACGTATGGTCAGCGAGTATTTACATAATATTAATATACTGTACACAATAATACTTAATAATGTGTATAATATTGCATTAATGATGGATTAAATGGTTAATAATTAGACACGATTTCGTACGTTAAATGTAACGTTTTTATTTCATAAAAGTAACTATTTTTTAATTTTATTATTGTGTATCGTTTGGTGATTTTGTAATACCTACCTGCCAATTTGGTTGCTTAAACTTAAATGGTGGTGCAGAGAAAGTTAGAGAGGGAAAAAGGAAACGCTTTGAAAAATCAGGTGACCTGAGACCTGAGCTGTTTAAAGGTCGACCAATGTTTTTTATCCATTGTGACTTTTAATTAATAATTTAAAATTAAATTAATAAAAAATAAATAATAAAAAATTATATACTCCATGCAGATAATATGTGGTTAAAATAATACGTAAATTACTTAAGTGGTTTTCTGAGAAAACCGAAGATGAATAGAGGAGGTATTTTTAATTAATTAAAACTTTGGGATTCCTATATTCGAGTTTTTTAATTTTTTGATGACAAAATTGCAAGGGCTGGTAAAAATATAGATTTCCTGAGCTGAAATGTTACCCCAAGTCTCCCCTGTCTGTCCACCTATCTGTACACGCAAACGTGTAAGGCAACTTGGTGACGCCATATGCTCACATCGGTCGGTTATTGCGATCATTCCATATAGTAATTTCTTTTTTAAAAGGTAAAAAAAAAATATATGTAGTGAGTAGATATCTTTGTATCCATTATTCTATACATTCTATAGTCTGGTCCAACTATTTCTGTGAGTTACTCGCTGTGACGCAGATCTACGTCAAAAATGAAATATTAACGTGTATAAGAAAAACCCCAAGACCATTGACCATATATCTGCCAAAACCTGCACTCGGCGCCGAAGGTCCAAACCCAAGAATGTCTGGATGTTGGCGTCGGAGGGCGATTTTTCTTTGAATTCGGAAATAACAATGGTTGCTCAGGCGGTCGGAGATTTAATACCTGCACGGTCCCACAGCACACGTGTATGTTTGCGGTGTAGTTTTACACACTATTTCTGCTGACAATGATAATTTACCGTGACGAATAAAAGCGATTGAGTACTGTTTAGTGAGTCCTTCTCGATATCTATTCACGCGGACGTCCGACGGCGAGTGCAGGACTATTTGCAGATATTTTTTTTTCTTGTCTGTCCAGAATTGAGACTAACGTTGTTTATTGTCCATAATAATAC